CCCCCCCCCCGCCCCCCACTCCGCACCCAACCAATATGAGACAGAAATATATTTGACACAACAAATCATTTCTCCTAATAGGTTCTCGAAGATCTCGATGAATCTGACTGCAATTACGTCCAGAGCTCAGTAGAAAATGGCTTAGTGTAAGGAGTTGACGAAGAATTTAATTCTTCTGTTTTCCTTTCCCTCTCCCGCGAGAGTACCGTTATAGGAACCAATAACCAAGCCTTAGGGCATGCTGACACTGGCACTTTGAATCCTAAATGTATCTGGCCTCAATTACGGGCAGATCTCGATGAATCTGACTGCAATTACGTCCAGAGCTGAGGTAAAAAATGGCCTATATAGGGTGAGTACGCGCTTGGTCTCGAGAGATGCGACAAGAATGTGTTAATCCGTCTAGGCGACCGTAACTGACTCATATTGAAGGAATCATTATTGTTGTCGTCATCATAGTCGCTGTATCGTATGCCCATGATTATCAGCAGCAGCAGCATCAGTATCATTTTTAAAAAAAAAAAAAAAAAAAAAAAAAGGACCACTAAAAAAAAAAAAAGAAATAGTTCCCCCGACTCCCCGAGTACAGCTCATGTTCCTCCCGTCTTCCCCCCAATACACTGCGAGCCGCGCCAATCACAGCTAATATAATGAGCATGCGTTCTATTCGGGGGGAAGACGGTGGCAAGTATAAGGACACGTCGGGGCGCTTGCCTTATCCAATGCTTTATCCACTTAAATTGCTGTTGATCTCTCATGGACAAGATTTGGCGGGAAAAACATGCGCCTTTTCGGCTTGCCTTATCCAACACATTATCCACTTAAACTGTTACTATTTGGCGGGAAACACATGCGCCTGCTCGGCTTGCCTTGTCCATTGCATTGTCCACTTAGATTGCTGGTGATCTCTCGCGGACATAATTTGGCGGGCAAAAATGCGCCTGCTCGGCTTGCCTTATCCAATGCATCATTATCCACTTAGATTGCTGTTGATCTCTCATGGACAAGATTTGGCGGGAAAAACATGTGCCTCCTCGGCTTGCCTTATCCAATGCATTATCCAGTTAAACTGCTACTATTTGGCGGGAAACACATGCGCCTGCTCGGCTTGCCTTTGCTGCTGATCTCTCGTGGACATAATTTGGCGGGAAAAAATCAGCCTACTCGGCTTGCCTTATCCAATGCATCATTATCCACTTAGGTTGCTGCTGATCTCTCGTGGACATAATTTGGCGGGAAAAAATGCGCCTGCTCGGCTTGCCTTATCCAATGCATCATCCACTTAGATTGCTGCTGATCTGTCATGACGGGTATAAATTGGCGGGAAAAAGAGCATTCGCCCTACACTCTGGGATCATGGCGCCATTCAAGGAGGCCTCTATTATGATATCGCCCCCCCGCGCCCCCGCCCCCCAATAGAGCGCCGCACCTTGGTCAAGAATGTATACAAGCTATCTTTCCGGTCCGATACCGTCTTGACGAGGCAGCGTTGTGTTCGAGGAAAGACTTCAGCTGGTTGGGTACACGCTGGACGTGTCGCCAAAATGCCTGTCTACCTGGGTCTTACAAAAATGCCCCAGACTCAGGAGGGGCATTATGGTCAAACCCAGGTGCAAGGGGGAGCATTTATGTCAAACCCAGCCAGGTGGTTTATATCTTATCATCGGGTCAGTCTACGTATCCCCGGGCCCAAGTCCCACTTGCCCAGATTCTTCATATCTGGCCGTTGATCTTCGGAATCAACGGTCATAAATCCAGAATTAGGGTGAGTGGGACTTGGCCCCCGGTTCATCAACCAAGAAAAAAGAGAAATCCGATCCTCCTAGCGGATCTTTAAAAAAAAAAAAAAAAAAAAAAAAAAAAGAGCAGCCAAGCGAAAGTCAGGATAATGCTACGTTGCTAACCCCATCTCTGACTACCGTCTTCACCCGAATAGAACGCCCGGTCATTATCGCTGTATGTATGTAGACTGAAAGTTGCCCCATATACGGCTATAATGACCGGGCGTTCTATTCGGGTGAAGACGGTACCACTGTTGGGCCGGGGGCCAACATGCAATCCCTTCATTGTGAGGCAGCTATGCTTGCAGGGGTCCCCTCTATATACCCCTAGGCCCTTAGGAGTAGTGGTAGGTAGGTAGGTAGTGAAAGGTGAAACGGAATTTGAGAGAAGAGTAGAGCGTAGGTTTAAAAAAATAAACAAAGTTGCTGCTGTGGTGGGAGCAGTCTCCATTACCGCGGAATGCAGCCCGAAACCAACGGGCCTGCGAAGCTCAGATGGTACACCCACGAACTGGTGTGGAATACAGACCCAATTCGAGTCCAGATGCAATCAGATGACCAGAAGAAAATCATTGTGAATTTAATTTACTTGGAGCCGGTCAATTCAAAGATGACATCTCAGGGAAAGGGAAAGGGAACGGAAAAGGGGGAAAAAAAAACAAATCGAAATGCAGCGGAAAGACGACATCCGCTGGTGTTGTGCTGTCTTGTCTCCTCCAGCCGCTCCCTATTTGGCCGAGTACTTGGCACCCTCGTCATCACGGTACCGGACCCGAAACATAGCCTGTATACATTCATGATCAGGGTGCGTTGTATTCGGGGGAGGAGGTTAGTTTCTGAAGTTTGGTTTTCCTCGTCTTTCCCTTTCAGGTAGTCTGACGACTTGTCTGTCATTCAATCACTTACGTTGATTGCCGTTTCAGCACCAGCAGCGTCGCCTGACGTGTCACGTTGCTGACGCGTCAGGTTGCAGAAGTGTCACGTTGCCGACGTGTCAGGTTGCAGAAGTGTCACGACCTAAGCTGTCAGTCAGACGTGTCAGGTTGATGACGTGTCCGCTTTTTGACGCGTGAAGTTGCTGACGTGGCACAGGCTAAGCTGTCAGTCAGACGTGTCAGGTTGATGACATGTCAGGTTGATGACGTGTCCGCTTTTTGACGTGTGAAGTTGCTGACGTGGCACAGGCTAAGCTGTCAGTCAGGCGTGTCAGGTTGATGACGTGTCCGCTTTTTGACGTGTGAAGTTGCTGACGTGGCACAGGTTGCGGAAGTGTTACTAGGTCAGCTGTCAGGCTGACGTGTCAGGTTGCTGACGTGTGTGATTTCTGGCTTGTCAGGTTGCTGACGTGTCAGAGAGCTCAGCTTTCAGTCTGACGTGTCATGCAGCTGGCCTCTCAGGTTGTTGCCGTATAAGCTTGATGACGTGTCAGCGAGCTCAGGTGTCACGGATCGAGTCGTCAGTCGGTAAGCCTTGGTAAGCTGCCACGTCAGCATCTGATGAGGCAACGGCACATTGTGCCAGTGCACTGAGTCACTGACCTCTTCCTGCAGGTGGCAAGCTGCCACGTCAGCATCTGATGGGGCAATTTTGTCGTTGTCTGAACAGCTATCTGCTGCGGAAATGGGACATCGCGTCAGTGCAGTGACCTCTTCCTGCAGGTGGTAAGCTGCCACGTCAGCATCTGATGCGGCAATTTTGTCGTTTTCTGAATAGCTATTGAATATCTATATGAGGCGTCGGAGTTACTGTTGATGGATAGCTGTTCAGAAAACGACAAACGATTTCAGTAGCATTTGCACTGCGGATCTGGAATCTTGGTTGAACTTGCAGTGATGCCCCTTTTCCGATGAAAAATATTGCACCTGAAACCTCAAAGAAAGTCCGTCAAAATTTCGCTGTTAGGCAAAAAAAATAAAAATAATAATAAAAATAAAAAAAAATTCTGGCACTCCGATCTTTCTCGCTACTTCATAATTGTGAGAAGACACAAAAACGGATAAAAATGAAATACTTGACAAAGGCGGGCAAAAAACGAATTTTGAAGAAAGGAAGCGGCCACCAGGTTCCTGAATACTTTAGCCTCCGTTAGGAATCTCAACTTCCGTTACGTTAATGGGAAGTGAATCCCATTCATTGGCCACGTGGCAATCCCTCAGTTAGCTGAGCTAAGCTGCCGAGAGGCTGAGCGATGCGCCTGTTGACCAAGTTGCAACTACCGTCTTCACCCGGATAGAACGCCCAGTCATTATGGCCGCATCTGGACTGAAAGTTGCCCAAATACAGCTATAATGATCGGGCCTTCTATTCGGTGAAGACCATAGCACACTCAGACCTCTAAGCACGAAAGGACTAAGCACGTCCATTGGTGGCTAGACATTACTGCAGTTAGCTGCAGCTAGCTGCAGTTACCTGCAGTTACCTGCAGTTAGCTAGCGATGCAGGTTACTACAGCTAGCTGCCGTTAGTTAGCGAGGCAGGTCAACTTCTCCTTTCCTGCAGTTGACCCAGGGCACGGTCACGTTAGACTATCCTAGATGAGTCGGAACGCAATTGCAGACAGATTCACTCGAAAAAGTCCAAGTGTGCGAGTATGCCCAACGTTGCACACGTGGCGTTTGCTGGAGTTCACTTTTGAGCTGCAAGGTCAGCATGCTCAAACCTGAGTTAATGTTTGGCAGTTAAAGTTGCAAACACTGTTACAGTGCGCACTGCGCAGTATGACTGCGGGAGCTCAAACCTGAGTTAGTTTGGCAGTTACCGCTGCGATGAGTTAGTTTGGTAGTTACCGCTGCGAAATTACCGCTGTGAAATTAACGCTGTGAACTAAGTAACTTACTTAGCAGTACCAAGCACACTGTGAACTCAGCAGCTTAACTCATCTTACACCGAGTACTCGAACTCTGGGTCACGTATCTGAGGGCTCTTACTCGTAAACTGAAAACGGCAAAATGTCAAAATGTGATCTTTCTATCAAAATTGTCCAGGTGTGAGAATGCTTTTAGTTAGGGTTTAGGGGGTACTAACTTAACCTCGCTATTGTCACAACTTAACTGCAGTTAAACCATCCCGGTAACTTCCCTATTCCCTCCCCCCGTGAATAGAACGCGCAACATTATGGCTGTACTATCTAGAGTGCAAAATAGTAAAATACCCTGGCCGTGTGTTCTATTCGCGGGACTGGAAGGTGGTAGTTCGCCTATACTATACTTTGTCAACGGTGGGACTCAGGTACTTGGGTAAATCACGCCAGCAGAGCAGGATGATCCCCCCCCATTTTAGGAAAACGAGCCGATTGCTCAAGGTTGGACCATGCGATAAAATGGTGCAGGTTTATTGCTGGCGAGGCCCGACCACTTCGTTGTTCCTGTCCTAGTTCCTCAGAACTTTACCGCAGTGAATTCGTCTCCGGCATTTCACTGCGGTAGTAAGGGCCAGATCCCACTACCCTGGATTATTCATTTTTCGCCCTCCATTACGAGGATCAACGGTCAGAAATGAACAATAGGGGCTAGTGGGATCTGGCCGTCAGTACGGTAGTAACTGCACTTAACCGACTGCGGTATAAACGGCGGTGTTAACTGCGGTATTCACTGCGGTTAATGAGCAGCAGTAAATATCTCTTCTGCCGTGGCGATGGCTCACCAACGATAGAGGTTCATCAGTACCGTAATATGAGCTGCATTTGGGGCAACTTTCGGTCTACATACTGCTGTATGATTTTGACCAAATCAGTACCGTATGAGCGATCGAGTTGCATCATCAGTACCGTCTTCGCCCGAATAGAACGCCCGATCGGTCATTGTGGCTGGTTGTATGTCGACCGAAAATTGCCCCAAATGCGGCTGTGATGACCGGGCGTTCTATTCGGGTGCACACGGTAGTCATCATCGCAATCGTCGTCTATTTAATTTATCATCATCATCAACAAATTACATAATAACAAAAATAACTTGTCTCTGACCTTTCGATCACTGTATCTTCGACCCATCATGGCCAACGTACCCTACTTTAACCGAATAGAACGTCCTGTCATTATAGCCCTATTTGGTTTACCTTTCAGTTCGAGATACAGCGGGGTATGCCTCACAGCGGAGCCCGCTCGAACCTGGGCTTGTTTGGGTGTTTCCGAGTATAATGTGGAGAG